ACCCCCCCCCCCCCCCCCCCTCTAATTCTACTCGTGCGCGCTCCGCCATGACTATTGCTTTGCCGTTCCTTTGGCGGAAACGGAACGTTTACACCGAAATTTCGCGTTTTTTCGAATTTTCTGTCACGTGGTTTTGTCTTTCCGTGAAAAAAAAGGTGAAGAAGAAGAAACCTTTGTCTTTCTCCTGGGTTTTTTTCGCCCACTTGTTCTCGGCATTCGGCTATATAACGTCAAGCTCAAGTGACGTGGTCGAACTTGCATGCGATATATCGCATCGATTAGTTAAAAAATCTCGGCAGATTTTGAATTTTTAGCAAAAGAAAAAGGACGATAGCCCCTGCGCACCATTTTAAATCCAAAACTTGGCAAAATTCCGAGGAATGAAATCAGAATAATGTTTGGAAAAAAACCTCGCATTCGATTCAGAACACACATTTTTATGAGCCTTTGATAGAGATCGCCCATCCAAAGTTCGCCTTCATTTTTGCTCCATAGGCAATATGTGAATATCACACAAAATGCGTTACTCTGATTAAATAATTTCATGAAATAAAAATAAAAATGCAGGAGGAAATTCCAGTGTCAATGGCTATCATTTGTGTCTGGTAAAGCCCATCATCGATGTTCTTACGCATTCATCTACTTTTCTGACTCTGCATTTAAGTCTCCAAAAATATGCACGTTCGAAAAAACGTTGGTGCGTTGAATGATTGTATATCCACTTTTCTGACTCTGCGTTTAAGTCTCCAAAAATATGCACGTTCGAAAAAACGTTGGTGCGTTGAATGATTGTACCGATACCTGTTTACCCATGAGAGATTACGTTTGCGAATAGTTGCGTGCTCCTAGATCCACAGATACTTCAACTGGCATCTTTATAGCTTCTGAAAAAGTAAAGCATACGCTAGAAAATTAGGCTTGTGTGTAGGGACTTTTCGACTTAGCATTCTACACTCGGCACTCACTTTGACTAAAGTGCCTGTAAAGGGAGAGTAACTGCTCCCTTCGTATATTTTTAGTATCGGAAAGATGTGCCTCTTTTCTATCGGTCAATGATTGGTAGACCGTTATTGAGCTCTTTACGGCCGTAGGTAAACAATTATTCCTGGTGGTTGATAGCCGTTAGGAAAAGTACACCGACCATATCACGAACAAAACTCAAGGTGTATCTTTACAAACCCTCTCTTCATGGAATTCGTGACTTTCTTTAAACGCGCTAATGTCATAAGAACCTAAAATTAAATGTAATGCCTTCATTTTTTTATTTTTTTTATTTTGTTTTTTTGTGCGTAAGATTATTATGACGACACGTCTGTGGGTCAGAAGGTCACGGTGTTCCATTTATGAAAACTCCACGTGTGTCCTGAGCATTTTTGGTCAACGCCATTCTACAGGACCACTCGGATACGATACAGAAGAGCGCCTTCAACCTACTGCGTAATCTTAATGCGAAATTCTGATACCACTATTCGTGCATTACGACAATCATTTTGCATAGGCGGCTTATTGAAGGCAAATCATTGGCCCAGGCAACAGGGTACGAATTACAGCATTAAGGAACAAAATCTCTGAGGGTGCTCCACAAGGCATCCGAGAAGCCCGACCCCCCGAGGCTGTCCCACATGGCATCCAAGAAGCCCAACCCCTAGGGGCTACCCTCCTTCGCATACAAGGAGCCCAACCACCAGGGGTCCTTCACCTGACATCCAAGGAAACCAACCCCCAGGGGGTGTCCAACTTAACAACCACGCAACCCTACCCTCGGGGCTCCCCCGTGGCATCCAAGAAGCTCAAACCCCAGGGGCTGCCCCCCTTGGCATCCAAAAAGCCTAACCCCCAAGGGGTTCAAACTTTATATTGGGGGTCGTTCAAGTATTACATAACACACTTAGAGGGGAGGGGGTTTGAATCAGCGTTACGGAGCGTTACAAGGGGGGAGGGGGGCTCAAACCCAGCGTTACGTAACAAATACGAGCCAGGGGGGGGGGGAATGGAAAATATCGTCCTTCCCGAATGAATCTTTGGTTCATTTCTTCCCGTCGCGTCGAACAGTGGATCGAGTCAATAGGAGAGGTCGGAAAAAATGTAGAAACTTTAAAAGCTTTTAACTCCGTTTGAACAAAACTTTGAGGTTATAAAAGTGGTTTCATTGGTTTCCTCGTAAAACTTCCTTCTGGAAGCACCCCTCGAAATTTAAAATGTGATGAAAAAGACATCAAAATCTTCATTTTTAGTCGAAAATTTCATGTCCGACCTCTCTCATTGACTAGATCCTCTTCTGCGCGTCGCGTCGCGTCGTATTCAGCGAAATCTCTAAAAAAAAACCGACTTTCTTTACAAGCTGTTTCTCAGTTTTTTTTTTTTTTTTTTTTTTTTTTTTTTTTTTTTTTTTTTAATTGGAAGGATTATGCCGGCGTCCCGAAATTCAAAAGGGGGGTGTAGGGCTGCGTTGCGGGTGCGTTACAAGGGGGAGGGGGTAAAAATATCGGAACAAGTGCTTTACGTTATACTTGATCGGCCCTTTCAGAGCAATATACAAGTTTGTAGGAACCGAGGGGTGAAACTATGGTTATTGCAGTTTACAAGTTCAAATTTTAAAATTCGATCTTTGATGCAATGCTGCCATTTCCCGGAATTAATTCCGGAATTCGGATCTTTTCCCGGAATCTTCTGAATCCCCGGAATTTTCAGCTATTTTCAGAATGTCCTCGAAATTTTCGGTTTTTCGCCAACGTGGCCATTTATTTGATCAAATGTAGGGACGTTTTGATCAAATTTGACGATCCTCGGAACTAAATCCGGGCGTATTTCGGAATTTTTCTCGGAACTTTGGCAAATCGGAATATGTTTCCGGAAATCGGAATTATTCGGAATCTTTTGATAAAATAAAATGGCAGCACTGCTTTGATGTCACGGAGAGAGATAACCTCCTCCACTGATCCTGTCAAAAAATGACCAGATTTTCTGAATGCCGAAGAAAAATTCCCCGTATAGTTCAAATTTCACAATAGGTAAAATCGAGCGTGATCAGGATGCCAAAACTGACGGGCAAAGAGCTGAAACGATATTACGCCGAGATAAGAGAGCTAATGAAGTGTCCCGTTTGCTACGATCTGGTGAGTCCCCCCGTCAAAGTGTGCCGCTATGGCCACGCCGTTTGCAACAGCTGTTTACCCAGTGTCACCGAGTGTCCTCTTTGCAAGTCGCTCTTCAGCGCGGGCAAGCAGACGCTTCTGGACAATTTCCTAACCGCTTTTCCGTACCCCTGCCCGTTCAGCGAAGACGGCTGCGACCAGGTGCACCCTCTGACGTCACACCGGAAACACGTCCGCGACTGCGACTTCCGGAAATCCAGGTGTGCCGAGTTCCGCTGCAGGTGGACAGGCAGGTCCTCCGAGCTTCTTCCGCATTTCCGCGTCCGACACCCTCGAAAGCTCTGGATCGGGGAGCAATTCACGATTCGTTTCCGGAACTTCGTGCTGGGCCACGTCATGAACGAAGTTAGGGCCATTTCCGCTTTCGGCAGGTCTTTCTTCTTCCGCTTCCGAAATTATCCGCACGAGCGCTGCTGCATCGCCGCTGTCCAGACGTTCGGCGCGCCGGCCAGTGCCGAGAATTTCGACTATTCCTTGGAATTTTTCTCGGCAGACAAGAAATTCAGCGTGGTATTCTGCAGCCGGACTCACCCTGATGACGAGATGGTGTTCGCTCGGAGCAACTCTAGTTTCTCGTTAATGCACGGCGCTCTCAAGTCTTTCATCGTTGACGGCGTGTTGAGTGGGAAACTGTCTATACAGCGGCGTAAGTCGAAAAATATAAAACGAGCCGATCGTGGAACCGTGTAAATCGTCTGTTCGTGCTGCAAATTTTGTTCTCAATAACCTCTCATGATCGTTGAATATGCTCAATTGCTATCAGATTTGAGAATCAGGAAAAGTCAGGTTAAAATGGCTCATAATCGTTCTCGACTTAGAGACTTCAGATTAGTCAGAGAACCATTACGAAAATTTTAAAGGAGACTGATCTCAGTGAAGTTCACATTTCCTCCCAGTGAATAATATGTCCCATTCAGTGCGAGTTAAAATAACGTGTGGTTCGCATCATGCGGAGTTCAATATGAAAACGCGGTAGATTCCAGCGCCGGATTTAGGGGGTGGTAGCCCCGGGGTGAACCTGTGCTGCCGTGATAGCGAAGACAGCGGTAAGTGCAAAAATGAAGTATTGAGAAAACAGGGTCCGAAGCATCAGACCGGAAAATTTTATTGAAAGGAGCATCCATCCTTGGTCAAATTGCCACTAATTATCTGAGAGACTCTTGGAGATCGTTTGGATGATTAAAAATCGACCGATTTTATTTCGATCACATAATGATGGTATTATTCATTTTCACATTAGGCTAGTGTTAGGCGAGACAGCCGTAAGTGCTGTCGTCAGCATATTTTCGTGGTTGCGTTTTGGACACACATCAAACACATTTTTAGGGTAGAAATTGGCAGAAAAAGGTGGCTCTTTACTGAAAAGCACTGTTTTCATTGGCTCTCTGCAGGAATAATGTCACTTACGGCTGTTTCGCTTAAAACTAAGTAATTTTTTTCGCACTTACGGCTTTCTCATATCGACGGTGTAAGTCGGCAATCACATGACTCGGTTTGCGACGTCGCAGACTTCCTGTCATACTTCATTTCTTGAACGGAAAACTACTCAACGGCAATTCTTTAAAACTGCCGTGATTTTTCTTCTTTGTGCGACGGAAATTCTGCCAAAACTTCACGGAATGATGTCAATTCGCTCTCCTTTAAAAAAGAACAAAGAGGCGGAGATTTTCAGGCACCGCAAACGAGTTATGCGATTGCCGACTTACTTCGTCGATGTGTCTCGTTCATACAATTAAGATGAATTTTGCTGTTTTAGCTATTTCATCTAAAAGAGATTATACGAATTTAGAAGGAAACTCGATTTCGAAAATTTTATATTTACTACTCTCCTCGCTATCACGACAAAATCAAAATGAGTGATACATGGTGACACCTAATTGGCGCATAGAGCGGCGTATCGCGAGTTCGCGCCTCGCGCCATCGCGCCTTCAATTTCGCAGATGCAACACGAACATCCATCAAGCACGAATAGTTGTATCTCTGCGCCGTTATCAACACGCATCCTCTACCGTGCTTATTTTTCTTTTTCCTTTTCCGTGAGGTGGAAATTATTTCGCAAGAGTTTTCAAAGCCTATCTCCTCCGTGTTGCCGTAATAATCTTTAGAGAAATGGATTCCTGGCGAGGAATAACCGGAATATCGAAAGAGGATCACGCAAGGAACGGAAGAGTGCGTGAGATAATGAACGCCGATCACGACATCTTTCATGAAATTATGACCGAACATCTTTCTGATATGGTCATGATCAACGAGTGGCGGATCAATGATTGCCTAGGAAGGCATAGAGAAAAAAAGGAGGTGTTTGAATTTCGGGCATCTTGGAATTTTTTTGATGACGTAGGTCGGTAGGGCGACTTTTATCATCGATTTTCTTGGAAATGGTGTAGTTTATGGAAAAAATGTTATCTACATAAAGTGTTTGAAATTATATCATGAATTGATTCAAGCAAAAAAATCGGAAGTTATGGTCCGTATTTCATACTTCGAATTCCGGATTTTGCTGACCAGGTTGTACCCACCTACGTCACAGAGTACACAATCCTCAAGATGCAAACACCTCCTTTTTTTCTCTATGCTAGGAAGGTACTAAATTGGGTTCCTCCTGGAAGGAGACGTAGGGAACGCCCAGCGAAATCATACATAGGTGGCATAATAATATAATTCAAAATGAAACAATTTTTGATAGTGTAGTGCACTTTTCATTGCATATCTAATGAATTATTTATAATGATCGTGAGGAAGTCAAATTATTCCAAACCAGATTTTAACAAATTTCTTTATTGATTTTTCTTTCACAGAGGTATTTCAATCCAATATCTCCATTGATATCACTCTAAATTAGAAAAAAACTCACTTAAAATTTTACAGAGTCTAATATCAGACCTCACTGAGGGAAATGTTAGACGACAAAGAAATTATTTGACAGAAAATCTAGAAACACTCTCATCGAATCCATACTGGAAAAGAACTCTCCAGCAAAGTTAAATGAAAGTCAATGGACATTTGTCTGTGTATTATTTTTTACATTTTTCTGAAATCTTAATTTCAAAGTTGAGACAATGGGAGAGAAAATATCAAGAGTTTGTTGAAGGGATGAACAAACTTGACAATCGCCCTTAAAATAATCCTAAGAGTTTGGAAAGGTTCAAGTGCCTTTAAAATTTTTACAAATTAATATTTTCCAAAAAAGTACATAAGGTTTTCTTGTGACCAGCTCAAGATAGATGATGTGACATGTACAAAATCTAAAATTCAAATGATTCATCACTGAAGAAACAGAAAATTCTGGTTATCATTTCAAAAGACAAAAGGTAAATTGTCTAAAAAATTGAAGGTGTTGGTGACTGAATCAAGTGGAGATGCACTAATTTGTACAAAATCTACAATATTAATAATAATAATTCATCATTGCAAGTGCAGAAAAAGTTTTACTGTTTTCCAAAAACATTTAAAAACTGGTTAGTAAATGAAATATTGAAAAGTTACCCTTGGTTAGGACGTCAGGTTATTATAAGGGTTTCTACTTTTTCAGTTTAATTATGGTTGCACAAAAAAGATATTAAAAAATAATTATCACAGCTTATATATTTACCTACTTGGCCTATCGGTAAAAACAGTGTTTTTAGTTTTGTAACTTGGACGAAAATCGTTACCGCAGTAGGCAGAAGCTTCGGCTTCGAACTATCGATGTTTATCGATGCTGAAATTGAAAAACCGCATTTCTCAATGTCCATCATAATGTTTCTTACACCGTTTGTTACTTCATTTGCCAGAGAGACACTGAGCCACCTGCGACGCAGAGATTACTTGATGAAAATATTCAAACTAAGAAGATAATCATTCACACATCTTGGTGCGTCATGGTTTTTTTCTATGTACAATTGGACAGATTTCTATCAAACGGAACTATGTGCATTAAGACATGATCCCTGAGACCCATAACATTACAGGTCTCGCGTCACAATGCACATAGTTCCGTTTGGCAGAAATGCGTCCAATTTGAAGGCAACGCCTTTGATTAACCTTTTCTAATTGAATTTTCGAATAGATTTTTAGAACTTCAGCGGATCACGCCTATGGAACCCAGGATTTAGAAGAAGGACCTTGAACTAAGCCTTTACTCTTAGAGCCGTATTTACTTTCATCTTTTTAACTTCGAGGCCTTTTTAGATCTTCAAAAATAAAATGGTTAAAGGAAGTCTTGAAGTTTAAGGAACAACCGTGGACACGTTCCTTACAGCGTAATACTTCCAAATTTGTTGTACATTTTGGTTGTTTTTTTAAAGGAATGAAAATAGAATTTCTTTTTAATAATTCGTTCATTTGATTTTTCAAGTATATTTTCCCCAACAAAGAGAGACATAATTGGCCCTTCGTAAAAGGCGAGTTACCCCGTCCATTTCTTGTCAAAATCCTTCAGCAAAATTTTTCCGAATAATGAAATTAGGTCCTATTTTTAAAATGTAACGTCTGCATGGAAATTTTAATAAGACGCTATCGAGATATGGGTTTTGGAAATTGCACCATAATACTAAAAACTCCTTACCATTCTTTAAGGTTCTCTGTGACCTTCCTCTGCAATTTTTTCAATATACCTAAGTATGACAAAGTTGTATTCTGTGACATAATCCCTCACGCATTTTTTGATCGGCTACAAGGCATTCGAGCCACTTGTAGAAAAAGGAGACAAAACGTCAGAATTAAAACTATTTTGCAGTAAAATGAACATTCATAAAAGGAATCAAAATAGGGAAAGTAGAAAACATCTACACATCTTTTGGTAACGAAATTAGTTAAGGTCAGTAGTAGGTACGAAAGTGTCGACGAAAAGTACACATAAAATAATTAAATACGTATAAGTAAATAACAAATTGAACTAATTGCTCTTAAAATAAACTATCAAATCGTTGTACACATAACAATTTAGTTTACTTGACTCTCCCCAATTCGTTATGAAAGTACGCCTCTAAAATAAATCAGATTCATCGCTCTTTTTTCATCGGAATGTTACTTGTATACAAACATTTAAAGAAAACTCTTTTAACGAGTTTGGGTGTGAAGCATAGCTCTGAGTGTACAGGAATACGAAAACTGCATTTGAATGATAACACTCAATTTGAAAAGATATTTGCATCCATGGAGAACCTTAGTATAATGTGTCCTAATGCCTCTGTGTTTTACGGAAGGCTGGAGGCTGATTCTTTCACATCTTTTTTGTCTTAAAGTAGCCGCAGATGAAACTTTATCTTCGTTTACCTATAGCTGAGAATTATATTATGATTTTTGGATTTTCTTCAATCCACCATAATTGGAAAAGAGTGAGGTGGCACATAGGTACGCCTGTGTTACCTGCGACAACGACTCGACATAAGGACCGCTAGACAAGGCTTGAATCAGGAAAAAGCGTTACATGCTCTCTCTTCAAAAGATAACGCAGGAACAATTCATCCAATGTGATGTTAGAAATTAACCCCTGCACGAGATACGATCAAGTATTTTCAACAGACATCAAATGGAAGTTAGATACCTACGCCCAAATAACTTCATCTGGACCACACTAAACAGAAAGGAACCAGTTCACACCAGGCATTGCCAAATTTCATTGAATGATATGTTTTTTTAATTTTTTTTTTTTATACATTAGAACTGTTATGTAAATTCTTCGGAAAATTCCACGGGATTTTTTTCTGTGGTATGAAGGAAATCCTCTGAAATTTTTACTGAAGAGGAGAGGTGTGCATTTTCAAAAAAATCCATGCACAATCGTTCTCAAGTAAAAAATAAAATTGTTCGATGAAATTTCGAAATGGTTCCTGTGACTTGCTTCGTTTTTGCGTCACGCATTAAATTTGTATTTTTGTCATCTAATCAATGTTAATAATCGTGAACCCTCATATCCACTTCATACGTCGATTTCAGGAGTTTCCGATGTGTGACTCATTTTCCCAGTAAAATGTTGAAAAGAGCATGTTGCGACTTGTTTTAATTCATACATTGCCCAAAGGTCCACTCTCTTTCAATGGATCGTATTCGATAGTGGTTCGATGTATCGTTTGGTTCAAAACAATAAGATATTTGTCAGAAAAGCTGAAAACGAGAGATTTCGTGGCAATTTTACTTCTCTTGGCCAATCAGTGCTCATACGAAATGAAAATCGATCACAAAAAACCCCCTTCCGTCAGATTACTCAATTGACTTTTGATATATTAATGTTTTGAACCAATCGATATCGATACAATCTCACCCGTTTGATGTATCGAATACGATCTATTCTGCAACCGCAATGGTTCCAGTCGTCAGCTTTTTTCTCAAAATCGAAGAAAGAAAAGAAAGGATAATGTAACACCGAGGGAAAATTAAAGCTAGATATGTCCTTATGATTATTCTATCCGTAAACGTTTATCATTGGCCTCTATGAATATCCGTAAGTTAAAATGCGCAACACCCGACCGAAAGGAGTCACCTCACTCTACCGGAAGGTGACCGGAGATGGGACCTGATGTAGCCGGTCCGGTAGTCGATGTCCGTTCTCGTATGCGCCGACTGAGCGTTTCGTCTATTCCGACTCCACCTGAAAATAGCGTAAATCGGGGATCAAAGCAAATGTGCAAATGTGATCAAGAGATCCCTTCCTTTAAGGTAGCAATTTGGAGAACGATTTGATGTTCGATCGATCGAACGAAAAGTTCTGGATTCTAGGACATTTTTTCAGAATTTTCTACCCATGTAGCAGAATTGAATCGGTCAATTACAAAAGGGCTCAAGCGCCCATCTTGCCGAGCTTGCGGTGCAACCTGATGTCTAGTCTCGCTCTCGGCTCTTGAGTCTTAACCCATTCAACTTTTCTACTCCTGCGTTAAGGTCTTTGAATCAGCCGAGAAGAGATTCTCCTTCATTTTGTCGATGTGCAATTTTATCACCATGGAAGTCGAAATAGTTGCATCACGCGTTCAACTTTTGTACTCCTGCGTTAAAGTCTCTGAGCCANGGGGGGGGGGGGGTGTCTTCTCCATTGTGTGAAACGCAATTGAATCAGTCAGTACAAAAGAGACAAGCACCAATTATAATGAGAATTCGAGAAAAATGGGAATAATCGTTTTAATTGGCCCCTTCTAAATCTCAGAGCTTTAAAATAGTAAAGCGATAAATTAATTAATCACTTTATTAATTAAAAAAACGGGTTGGTTCGTACAGTTTCTACTGGTGTTTAATTTTATTTTATTTTAATTTTTTTTCGTATTTTCATATCTAGCGCTTGACCCCTTGAGGCCTATTCAATCTCATGATTGATAGTAATAAATGAGCTATTTGGACGTATTTCTGCCAAACGGAACTATGTGCATTATGACGTGAGCCCTGCTATGCATATATTCTAATGGGTCTCAGGGCTCATGTCTTGATACACGCATAGTTCTGTTTGGCAGAAATACGTCCATTTATGGTTAATTTACTCTCTATTTATTGTCATGAAACTTCTACTGAATAACACTTTTAATGTATGTGACGATGGTGCAACTGCAAAAATGCATTCTCGATTGTGGTGTTTCAAAATGTCCGCTTCCGTTTCATTTTTTGAAAGGAGACCGAACATAGACCATGCCTTGAAAAGTTTTAGAGTATTATTATAATGGAGAGGAAAAATCACCGGAATTTTCAAGAAATGACGTTTAGTAGTTTTCGATGTAGAATATAAAATATGATAGGAGTTCTGCAACGCCGAAAACCGAAATACGCATTTCTGCAGTTTCACCATCGATGTGAAATACTAACTTGCTATAAATAGTCATGTTTGATTCTTGAATACGAAATAGCTATTTAATTGCAATTTATCGGTATGGGACCGCTGCTTATGACAACTCTTTTAGACTATTTTCACCACCTAATTTTTTAATTTTTAAAAGCTTCTTAATTGCCATTTATCATGATCGAATTCCAATTTTTGGAAACTCTGCTACATGGGCATCCAGTACGCAAGCATACTTTTTTGTTCAAAATTTGACCAAGAAACGATTTGAAGTAGAGTGTACTGAGTAAATATAACAAATCCGAAGGCAAAATATTTTTCGATATCCACTCGTAATGTAGGTACCTTCAGAGTTATTTCAGACATTTTCCTGGTCAAATTTTATTTATACAAATACCTGATGGACTCCAGCGTAATTTGACCCTCGGAATAAATTCTAAAGACATTTCCAAAAATCCAATTGGTCTATCGATAATCGAATCGTTCTTCACTGTGCTAAAGATTCACCTCAACTATTTGACGAACCAATTTAAATGAAAAGGAACTATCAACATTGTGACCTTCGCCCTAATACTCATAAGTGTACATGCATGGCAGAACCCATGTCACAAGGGGGGGTAGTCTCTTAATTTTAAGAAACTCCAACCCTAGTATATGTAAAATATATTCCAAATCTTTCTGACGAGTGAATTAATTGCTATTCGTGATTTTACCTTTAAAAAGTCCCTTCGTCTATTTGCATCTCTTGTGTGCAACATATGGATTGGTGGTGCAATGACATATTTCTTGAAAACGGACGTGGAAAATTTCATTCTTCATTTACCTGAATCTACACTCCCAGACCTCGCAGAGTATACTCACAACAATACATATTGCCGTGCTAAGGAAGGACGCCATTTAAACTGCCGAACTTCTTCTGATGTAACACGAATATTCGGAGGGAACTTGTAAATATTTCTTTCTCAAATTTTTTCGAAGGATTTCGTTTGTAATTTGATCCAAAGTATCTGAATATTACCAGGTTAAACAGGGCCGGATTTACCTACTTGCCGCCCATGGGCCGCCTGTATTTTGCCGCCCCCTTCTCGTTCGTTTTGAAACATCAATAAAAACCATCAAGTGAACGTGCCGGAGGGGGAGGGGTGCATAAGATGCGTTTACCTACTCGTGTTGAATACATTTTTTGCGAAAGCCCTGTCAACCCTCCTGGCAAAATTTCACGGAACTTTGCGCGAAAGTTAAGTTCCGTAAACATATCTCTGTGTAGTAGACAAGGTCCTCCATTTATAAGGAATTAACCAAAAAATTGAAAGAACAAACATAAATGTGGTTTAATAATTTGAACTTCTGCCGCTGCGTCGGGCTAATCGCACTGTGTGTGGCGCAATGCGTGAAGTATTCCTGCAGTCTTGTAGGCGCCACACGTTTCACGCCAACCGCTCACCGCTCCTGACCGCACTGTGTTTGACGCAATGGGTGAAGTATTCATGCAGTCTTGTAGGCGCTAATATGTGTTACATGTCGACCGCCGTGCCGTGCCAAGGGCTTGTCCTTTTCATCTCAAGTCCTCGTCATCATTCCTCTTTGCGCTGATCTCCAGGCCAAATTGCGTGTTTAGAGCCTCTCTTAACTCGACTAATTAAAGATACTGTCTCTTGTATCACCGAAAAACGAAAAAATTCGAAATTCCTATTCTCGCAAGAAAGAGAGATTTTGTTCCCTTTTCTCATTGATAATTTTTTCTTCTGAATCCAATTTTTTTTATAACTACGTTTAAAAAAATTGCAAAATTTGCCGCCCCCTAAATTTGCCGCCATGGGCCGCGGCCCATGTAACCACCCCCGTAATCCGGCCCTGAGGTTATTTATGCATAGCTTTACTTTATGGGGAGATTTGGTAAAGTACGAATGTTTATGCGGCGTTCTTCCTTGACACATCAGAATGTGTCATTACACCAAACTATCACACAACAGAACGTGCCTATTCTAAACGGGATGGCTAGAGTCACCAGAAAAATGTAGAACAACGGTACGACTGAAAGTCAGTAAACATGGTATGAAATTATCATTACTCTAAGCATAGATCAAGATTCAGATATTGATAGATTGGACATGCAGAAAGAGGTGAATTCATCTTATATCCTCTGAATTGATCCGCATAAAAATATCCTATTGAGCATTTTTTTCTTTTTTCCCTTTTAAACGTGCAAAATTATTAATATGACACTCAAAATTAAAAGTAGACTAAAAACTAATCCTTAAAACAAAATAGATTCAATATAAACCATAGAAACTTCCAGTGAATAATCATAGGTAGATTGTCACAATTATTACATCATTTACATATCAAACAGTGATGCAAAATAAAATGCGAACATGCTTAGGTTCAAGAAGCCAATATTGTGATTCGATTTTCTGTTCAGCGTGTTTGGAAAACAAGGAATTAAAGCTTTAGTTTTTTATTATAATATTTTTCAATCCTTCATAAGATCATAAAATTTTGCAAGCAATCGTCCTCCGGGAGCTTTACAGAAGAAACATTTCAAAACCGATCTCGCAGAAAAAATATTGGTTGAAGACGTATCGCAAGCAAACGAAGGCAAACGAGACAATAATAATGAATAAAAATGAAAACTGTGCGCACTATAATCACTTTTTTACAGCAAACGCAAAGACAAAAATTCCTTGCGAAGAACAAAACAAAGCATAGCAGTGCAGACGCAAAACTTCCTTGACTTGATTTAACTCCAGAAAACGGCTAATCATTCCGATTAAATTGGTGCTAATGTAAATTTAAAAAGATACTTTTGTTGCGCACACCAAGTTCTTATCAAAAGAAAAGACTTCGTCTCTTCGCGAGACTACCCAAGTAGCGGTGATCGCGATTAGTTGCGATTTGATCAGAGAAAGTATCGCGATAAGTTGCGATTTGATCAGAGAAAGTATCGCGATAAGTTGCGATTTGATCGGAGAAAGTATGGCCATTTTATCGACGACGTCAATTTATTGCAACATAATTGAAACAAATTTTTCGATAAATTGTGATTTCATCACATAAATTTGCAATGAAAAAATCGCAATTCAATTGGCGGCGATTTATCGCGATATTACCGGACAAAAGGTTGTCATAAATTTAGATAAAATTTCGATTTTAGCGAACACAATCATACAGAGATAAAATTGCGACAAGATCGAGGATAATTGCTCAGAATTTTCTGATCCTATTGATTCTATCGCCAAAAAATCGTAAACAAATTGCAACTTAATTCCGAAGTATCGCGATTGTTCCGATGAAAAATGCTACTTGGGTAGGCCTCTCTCGTTATAGATGTTGATGTTGTTCCGGCGAGGGTCCCGAACATTTAATAATTTATTTTGGTCCATCTTTTTCTCTGTCTCACGTTTGTAATGAACTATTTTGAAAAAGAAATGAAACAAACTGAGTAATATTTGTCAATTTTAATTGATTCATCGGTTTTCAAGTATGCCCTCCTGGACTCCTTTTAAATTTGCTAAATGATCCCTACTCTCTCCCTCTCCGGGTAAGTCTCTCGATGGTATTCGATCTCAATTATCTTGAGAGTATTGCAAATCAGAGTTGGGATACCTACTCAACTAAACGCGACCTATATCGTTCCCAATTGGCCAACTTCCGGTGTTCAACTTCTAAATCAACTGGACTACATTTTCAATTTGGAACTATAAATTCTAGCCCGGTTTAAAAAAAACGTATGTGCAATTAATTTCCCTATGCACATAAGTGTTTTTCCAGAAGAGCCAGAATTTATAGTTCCAAATTGTAAAATGCAGTTCAACTATTAGTCGGATATTCATCATTTAATGTCACTAGCCCCGCAAACTCACGATATCACCTACTGAGATATCAAACAGGCGTTGTGCTTAATGGAAATAAAGCGATGTGAAAAAGCGATACGATTAAAAACTGATGGATTACCTGATTTCTTTTTTAGGATTAACTAAATTTATTGAATTGGCTGAAGAGGTATCTCTGCAGGTTGGTTCAGATAACTAAACGAAACACCAATAAATGGCAGCAAGCAACAAAATGAACATCAAGCAAATTTACTAACTATGAAACTAGACAGGGGTGATAACAGTTAGTGTATACATGAATATAAATCAACAATTAAGATTATCCAAGGATTATATATACAATACATCAATAGAAATACTAATTTCATTCGTGATGAACAGAGATTTCTTAATGAGTCAGATCGATTTTGAGCATGGGCTCACTTTATATTGTGCTGAAAGCCATAATGACTGAAATCGACTAATTAGGTAAGGATGTCCTCAAATTATGTAAGGCAACTACGAGTAGGGAGTGGCGAGTCTCTGACACGCCCTGATGACGGAGGAAGGAAGTTAAGGTGATTCGATGGACGCTAAATTTTGTGTCAGAACGACATGCATCAATTGGTTCAATTTTTCCAGCTACTCGTCATTTTTCTCCAATTTTGAGATCGCAATTCTGTTGTCAAGAGACTAAAGAATTCACTTACCAGTTTTGACAAACAAATTAACCTAATAAAGGCGTGATTTTTTTAGAAGAAAAATATCGCATTCGATACTGATATCGCAACTGTACTCAAATGCGATACTTTCTCTCTAAAACAATCACGCCTTTATCAGGTTGATTTGTTTGTCAAAACTGGTAAGTGAATTATTTAGTCTCCTGACAACAGAATTGCTATCTTAAAATTCGAGAGAAATGACGAGTAGCTGAAAAAATGGAACCAATCGATACGATCTATCGCATGTCGTTTTGACACAAAATATGGCGTCCATAGAATCACCTAAAGTCAAACTTGACGAAAGGATATACAAACGTCTAAAGTTAGAAAGCGGAAGGAGATAAAAAGAAAAATCAAGGGGAGAATCCCGGTAGAAATTTTTTTCAAATTGAAACTAAAATTAAATAAAAAATTAACTTTTAAAAAAGGTCAACATTTCGTTTCCTAATGCTGCCAGAATAAATGGAGTTAAACTCAGCCTGACGCACACTTCTAAGAGTCTGCAAGTACCTTAGGGAAGGAAAGAGAGTCATAGTGCCTGACGTAATTTGTCGACGGTCTTTAACCTTAGTTTTTGATTTCTGAGAATCGGAATATTTAATTTAAAGTCAAGAATATATTTACAATTGGAAAATGTATTGTTCGTAAAAAGTGTCAGACATTCGTTTCTTTGAACGCATTTAAAACCTGCACATTATTCATTTGTATATGATGAAAATTTTCACACACGCATTCTAGTGCAGTCAGAATTTTTTATGAGAAGTTTCTCTTTCTCTTTCTTTTTTTAAAGAACGCTACATGGATAAAGATACGCTTCCAAACTGTCTGATTTTATGTATGACCTCCAGGAGATCAAGCAGGTAGTAATGGATTCTTAGCTATGCTAACTATTTGCATTGTAGATCAGCAACTAGTCGTTGATTAGGCGTTTTATAAGTAACGCACCACCAGGATCTAGGACTACCTACTGTATTTCCTGGGATCAAACATAATTAGATAGTCCAGTAACCCCTCCATTTTTCCCCCTTTATAGGCCAACACCTAATTTTTTAAAAATACCGTATAAATATGAAACTGGTTTCCGCTTTTTTCTTATTATGAAAACTAGTTGGTTTTGTGTGCGTGAAAGTGGTTCAATGTTCATTACTCTATATTCCACAGATATAGAATAAAACATAATATTATTATTTTTTTTTTTTTAAAAAAAAAAATCTAAAATATACGTTTTATAGCTCCTAAGCAACTCAAATTCTTCTACATTGGATGAACGCCTATTTTTTTTTTCATCAACAAAAGGATTTGTTCATTTAAACCAGAGGAAATTAGCAGCCTTTGACTAGAGTCCCTTTATACTGGTAGTAAAGACAATGTGAATCCATATCTGATTGGTTCCCGTTTTTAGGCCTTCACTGTGTCACAAACGGGAATAAAGATTACATTTTCACCAATTGCAAAGATTATAAACTGGAATGGACCGGGTAATTGGGGGTTCGGCAAGGAACAAATGGAATGAGAGAGGGAACGGAGATAGGAATTCGGAAATGGGTTGATCAAATATTACAAAAAACGTCCGATTTGTGTAATCTTTATTCCGTTTGTGACATCCTTAAGTCGCGTTGTCCCAACTCTTTCTATAAGAGGACTCTACGTTTGACCTAAGCTGCTTGTTTTTCTCTTGTTAAAATCATCGTATTGCATGTGAAATATTCGGGAAAAGGATGTCAGATTCAATGAAAAATCCTCGTAGGCATATGCAAGTAACACTGAAATATTGATTTGCATTAAGTGTTCTCTGAATTCAAATGCAAAATGTCCAGTAGGTATATAGAAGTAACGATGTTTAAAATCCATCAACGTCACATGCTAAACTTGTGGGAAAAAATGTAATCACGGAATCATCGGGCATTAAAAACATGCTTAAAACCGAAAAACATGTTTCAAAAGTTCACATAAAATTGATGACAAACATGCATTTTCAGATACTTAGGTATTCAGGGTTTTTTGCTGTCATCCTGTCCTTGAACATCTTTTGTGTCAATCATTTTTGTACCCACGATTGTCACTAGTTCATATTTCTATCTTCTATTTCTTTTAAAATATTATTTCATTAAAATTATCAAAAATTTTTGAGTTGGTTGCCTTCACGTATATCATCAGGTTAAATTCTTAAAATAAAATGTTTATCGGACAGAAATTTTGAAGAACGATCGTATTTTTAACCCAGTCCACCATTTCTAATTCATGCTTACGATTTCCGGAAATAGACTTACCGCGCACTGTGCGTTAGTAAAATGATGTTTCTGTAAAATTGTAAAAAGAAAGAACATGAGAGCCTCATCATATTACATACGATTATAGTGTGTTAGATATTCTGTGAGTACCTCATGAGGTGCTTATGACCTTACGATGTTACACAAGCAAAGGTTTTCACGCGCTTGTAAAACCACCACCTTACGTCTTGCATAAAACTATGGGATGATTTTTCTCCCTTTAATTTAAGCAGGAAAAACATTAGTGCTGTGTTGAAGCCAATGGGTTTTATTTTCGCGCTACGTTTCAAAACTACTCAACCTTATTGACCTTGGCCTCTTCGGAACATACAAAGTTGATTAGACCTAAGATTAAACTCAGATATCAATTGTCATACGGGGAAGGCAAGGTATGATCTAAATCACGTTTAATCTACTTTATTTACGACGAAAATCTAGAAAAAGGTACTGTAATTGAATTAATCAACTGGGTTGCTTCAACCCTTAGACGCCCAAGCCGGGTCAAAGTGACCCAAGGCTTGCTAAAAGCACGAGGTCCGCGGGCTGTGTGGGGCCGGCACATACGACCCTTAGGTATAGGTTGGGTTAGGTTAGGTAGGTTTGGTTAGGTTCTACAAATACACCCTTGAAAAAAACCCAGCCGAAGATAGCAGAGATGTAATCGGGCCTCGTTTTTAACTTTTTTCTCGAATCCGAGCGACATCCTTTGGCAGCGTATAGCGGAGCAGTTCACGTCTCGCGCCATCGCGCCTTCAATTTTGCAGATGCAACACGGACATCCATCAAGCACGAATAGTTGTATCTCTGCGCCGTCACTGACGCACGTCCTATCCTCCACGCTATCTCTACATACTGTGTTTGTTTCCGTTTGTCTAACTTTATAGTGATACTTCAGTGGCCATGTAAGCGACACAGGCGCAGTTAAAACATACGTAATTTGGCCGTAACTTTCTTCCCGAATCCAAGCGACACCTCACTAGCAACACAGAGCGGAGCATGACGAACCGCCAAGAAGACCATTTTTAAGAGATCTCCCAAGTACCCTGAAGGGCACGTCTAGATATTAGTAGTTTGGTGAGAGTTGTTTCGTGTCAGTGTTTTTTTTTCTTTTTCTTTTCTTTTTTTTCTTTTTTGACGATTATCCCTACAAATCCCAAGCCGGGCCTATATTGTCCCGCCTGTCTTTTCTGTGGGATCAATACATGGCGGATGAGGAGTGGAGGAGAGAAGGTGCCAATTTTTATACCAAAAAGGTGAAATTTTCAAAAAAAAGTATTTCTTATACCTTCAAAAACAGAGAAATCACACATCGACGGTGTAAGTCGGCAATCACATAACTCATTTGCGGTGCCTGAAAATCTCCGCCTCTATGTTCTTTTTTAAAGGTGAGCGAATGACCATCATTCCGTGAAGTTCTAGCAGAATTTCCATCACACAGAGAAGAAAAATCACGACAGTTTCAAAGAATTGCCGTCGAGTGGTTTTCCGTTTTAAAAAACAAAGTATGACAGGAAATCTGCGACGACGTCGCAAATCGAGTTATGTGATTGCCGACTTACACCGTCGATATATAATAATCCAAAAACTATCAGACTCAATGTATTTATAAGCACGAGTCAATTTGAAACTTCACGTATAGACAAAGTCTTGGACATCTAAGGGTTAAAGTATGTGAAGCTGGTAAAAAGACGGAACTTCTTTGAGGATCACATGAATAAGAAAGACTCCTACCGAGCTTTATCTCAATCAGCTTCTCTAGTAGAAAAGGAATCGATGTCTCCTTTATCGATGATTGCGGATAGAAATAAAAGCTTACTACATACCTGAGCACTCGAGTGATGTAATCCGGCCAGTTGTTGGGGAACATGACCAAGAAGAATCCTATTGATATTAAAATTATTCCCGCTAGTTTCATGCCTTTGAAATCTGCGCCGTATAGAACAACATCTAGAGCTGGAAAAGATTTTAAAAGTAAAGTTATGTACGCATTTATGTCAAATAGGGTGCTATAGAAATGTGATCATCAATAGCCATATGGCAAAAGGTCCTTAGTGCCGAAGATCTAATAGTTGAAGTATTAAAATATCTGCGTGAACAGGCGTACGGGCGTCTTACGTGCGAGTTGACACAGCAAACGACGAGAAGTATCCAACCGGACCGGTGCTACGATGATTTAAAGTTTGCAGTTTGAAATATTACGATAGACCTAGGTACCTAGTGCGACAGACCGTTTAAAATAGGTAAAAAACTCGTAACTTTTAAAAGGATACCCTTAAAACCTATTAGGATGTTGGAGGTAGAAAACATTTTTGTTTTTTTTTTTTTTTACGTAAAAATGCCATCTCACCTTCTCGCAAGTTTTTTTATTACTTTACTTCGGTGAATTTTAAGTTATAATTCGTAAAAAATTTTAGTTCTTCACTTCGTATTTGTTGAAGTTTATTTAATGTTTAGTATCGATATGAGTGATTTCTAGAAGTCATCAAACTTCATTTACATACTTTTTTTTATGACAAATTTCACATGAACATTACTTGAAAAAGAACAGAGGGGGTTTCCTAAGCGCGTACATGTTTTAATTTCTTTCTTTTTTTTATTCGCTCATTTTAACAATATTTCAAAGTCCAACAGTTAATGCTATTTGAAGTTTCAATCTTCCATATTCGCAGCTAAAATTGTTGGATTTCACTTGTTTAATTTTTTCTATAGGTACAAAAGTGAAGTATATGAATAGCTCGTTCTTCGAAGTATATTACCCAAAACCTGACATTCTTATTAGTCGGTCAAACTTCACGAAAGTCTGCTCTATGTGAAATATCTCTCCGTGGAAGATACGATTTCTGCGGATAGTCAAGTGTTGCTTTTGAAGCTCACTTACAATAGTATGAGAGAAGATTTGCTTGTTTCGTCAAAGCTGAAGCTCTCTTTGAATCATTGCACTTTTCACTGACCAACTTAAAGGTTTAAGGCGGAATTTTGAGTTTCACAGTTCTATTTTAATCTTCAAACGTATAAAATTGAAGAAACTCCAGAAAGCTCATCAAAATCAGAAAATTTTAACTATAATGCGCAGAATTCTGGCAGCGTGTTGTACGAGAGTATATTTTTAAATATACGAGGTCAAATATAGACCTGCTTATAAGCGCCCGCAGGTAAAAATTGGCGATAGGAGCTGCGTTTCAAATACCATAGGAGCTCTTATAGCCGACTGAAGAAGGCGATCGAAAATCATATAGCTGACTGTAGAAAGTGGAAAAAATCATACGGCCGGGCTACACGAAGCGATAAAAAATTATGCAGCCGGGCTATAGTTCCTATAGCCGGGCTTTACACTTTATCGCCTGGCTGATGCTTTTTCGCCATCGATTATAAAAGGCTATAAGAAATTGTGTAGAAATTCGTGTGCTTTGGAAATCATTAAGTGTGATACGGAAGCATTTTAATATTTACAAAACACACGTTATATTTTCCTTTAATACATATTTTTTTCATCAATTAAAACGAGAATAATCCATACAGGATGTGCAAACGTTTCAAAATCATGAGTTGTTGAATAACGCTGACTCCGCCAAATTAAATATAGAGCCTAACACAAAGAGGAGCGGCGACGCACTGGCGCCTTCAAACCTAACAGGGATACTGCACGCATTGCGCAACGCGTGAAGTATCCCTGTTAGGTTTGTAGGCGCCGATGCGCGTCTCGCGCTGGCTGCCCGCCTGCCACACCGCAGCGTGCCACGGCGCTTGAAGCAACTATTTCACACCAGAGGTATTACACAGTATCATATACGAAACCGAAGGCGCTCTAATATAGTAGGAATGGCAGGCATCCATCAAAAGTACGGAGCTTTCCTCGCAAAATAAATCAAGATACTACAGCCCAAAAAGAGAGCAGTGGTCTAAAAACTCACTGAGTCCTAGCATCCGTAATTAATGACGTATAGCATACACTTCATCGCCTGGCTGTGAGTTGCTTAATCGCCATCGGCTATAAAAGGCTGTAAGAAATTGTGTAGCCGGCTGTAGAAGAATAGAAGCTATTGAAAATCTTGCAGCCGGCCGTAGGTCTATGGTATTTTGGAACACAGATTCTACTGCCAATTTTTACCAGGGGGGTACCTAAACAATGATTTGCAACTTACCGGCTGACACAGGAACTGCAGTTATTAGTCCTAGAGTGATGAAAAGGTCGTAGGTCACAGCAACGCAGAAGTTACCGAGCAAATTTGCAACTGGAACACAAGTAGAAATTTATTAGGAAAAATGCAGTGAATAATGTCACTTCCCTTTAATCATAAAGGTGCAGCAAATAAGACCCGGTATCCGCCTTGACCGCTGTGGCGATTCTTGAAAGTCTAAAAACTGATTTTCCTCCATTTAAATGTATGGAAAATAATCGATTCTTAGTGAGGCAGCTTGCCTCACGCAAAATCTATATTTTCAATGGATTTGAATGGATGGAGATCGGTTCCGCCGAGCCCGGCAAATAAACGGCGGAATCGACAGAAATGTCGGTCCTGAGTTTTTGTAAAGACCTTGGAGTTTTTCCTGTTTCCAATGTTGCCAATTTGGCAACTCTCGGATGTACATACGGCGTTTTTTCTTAGCAAGGTAGAGTGGATGGATTCATGCTTAGGAGAGTTGCGATCTCTTCTAGGTCTCGATAAGAGAATTTTCTCCGACACCGCGCCGCCGCACACAAGTTGGACAAAATCTGGAAACTTTGAAAAGCCTGTGCTTTCGAAAACATGAAACGAAGTAGTTTAAGGTCGGTTTCATCGGCTTTATGGTGAAATTTCCCCTCAGTAACATCCTCAGAAATTGAATTTGTAACGAAATAAACATCTAAATTTTCAGTTTTAGTTTTAGTCAAAAATTTCACGTCCGACCTCTCCTGCAGACTCGATCCACTGTGCGCCGGCCGGCCTCTGAACCGAGATTCTGCCAAACGGATGTGCAGCGTATCTGAATACGCAGTGACCACCCCTACAACAGTCTTAGCTCCCCCCTCCCCCTCCCCCTCCCGAGACTGATCGAACAAGACGTCCAGCTGCACGTGCCGTAGTCGGGTACGTCAAACCGAGGGAGACGGTTCACCTCTATACAATAGCTTGCGATTTTGAGGAACTAATTTTTTCTGTAGAATTCGATAGTTCGCGGGCCCGATAAAAGCGCTTGTGATTTTGAAACGCTACTTCTCCGGTCTAACTATAGAGTTTGCTAAGTACCACCGTCAGTGGAGCTAGTATTTTCTCATTCTTGTCAGTTGTGAGAGTTTTCGGTGGCATTTTTTTTTCCGTGACTTTCATGATTTTCGGTTGGAGGATATCGTTCTGGAAGTCATTCGGTCCCTGAGTATGCGGTATGCGCTTCGGCAGTATTTATTTGGTGAGTTGCTTGCATTTATATCACTGAAAATTGTATTTCTTCGAAGGAGATATGGTTATGTGTAGTATACTGCCGTGCTAAAGAAGAGCGCCGTGCGAACATTCGAGAGTGGCCTTTCCTTCAGTAAGAGGTTTATTTTTTAGGAAAGCTAGGAATAATTTTCCTTGAAATTTTCAGGAACTTTGGGTGAAATTGCGAGAAACATTATCTGAAAAATTGGACGAAAAATATTTATAAGTTTGTACCCGGAAATTCGTGTTTTATCAATAGGACTGGTTTAAACTGCGTTGCTCCTCAGCGTGGCAGTGTAAGACGTGTAAGCCCTCGGGAGGCGATTGTTTACGGAGGTGCAAAAATTGTGGAGGCTGAGATTTTTTTTTTTTTGTTAGATATTTCAGATTTTCAACTATGGTAAAGGAATGCAACTCTGGCACACATTCTAAAATTAAAGCGGTAAATGCAGAAAGGGCATTACTTGGTTGCGGTGTTTTAGGATCGCGGTTAACGTTTTATCCAGTAAAGTTAAAGCAAATCCATGGAATTCTTTAAAATTTTTACTGAATTTTCTTTACGATTTCACGATGCTAAAAATTGAAAGTTTCAGAAAATTCACCCAATAATTTCATCTCTTAAACTTACACTAGCAGTGAGGAATCTAAAACACCTCAACCAAGAAATACCCTTCCCGCACCCGAAAACTCAATTAATAAAAAATTCCACAAAATTTTGACCGGCGTGTTGTTATAATCTTTTTGCGAAAACCCAGCGCATGGCAGAATATTGCGGAGGCCTAGAACAATTTCCACCCCCGATTGTTCATTTTGATTTTCTCGAAACCCGAAACAGTTGCACCCAACAGTTTCCTCTCTAATTAGTGGTAGAAATTCTGAAACACCGCACCCAAGAAATACCCTCTCTGCACCCAACGCCTCAATTGGACGTATTTCTATCAAACGAAACTATGCGCATTATGAGGTGAGCCCTGTTATGCACATATTCTTATGGGTCTCCGGGCTCATGTCTTAATCCACATAGTTCCGTTGGATAGAAATAGTCCAATTGCGACGTGGTTTCGTCCTCTTGCTTTACTTTGTCCTTTGTAGCAACGGAGCTGGAGATTCGTGCTTTGGGCAGGTGTGACTATCCGTCACCGTCCCACCCTTCCTTGCTTAAGTTTTCCCCCTGATATTTTGTCATCACCACTTCGACAACACCCAGGCTCTATCCCTTTCATACAGGGTTATTCAAAAGTCACGCACCACTGCCATGAGGGGGGTGGCCATTTGAAATGTTTGAGTTGCCCCCCCCCCGCCCCCCTCCTCCGAGTGAATTAAAAAACTGGAATGTATCTAAAGGAGTTTCCCCCTCGATATGAGGAAAAACGTCTTAAACCGCAAGTCGATATCATAATTAGAACCAAAGTTATGGCCAGTGGTGAGTGACTTTTGAATGACCCTGTATACTGCCGATTTCCTTTTTCGTCGGAGCCTCGATAAGAGAATTTTCTCCGATACCGGCCGGCCACCGGCCGGGCTGGTGGTGCCTGTCGCCAAAAGACCAGACGGAGATTCTACCAAGCGGATGTTCGGCTTATCTGACCACCCATAGCCCCCTCCCTATCCCCTTACCAGAGACTGATCGGAGACGCTACCTGAAACGTCTTGCGGCAGTCTAGTGCGCAGGGTCCGTGAAGTCGGAGGTGACGGTTCAGTCCATTTCAGTGGCTTGTGATTTTGAAGAGTTGATTTTTCTGCCAAGTTTATTGATCCCTCGCCCCGCTATCACTTATTGTGAAACACAACTTATTCTGTCCGATTCGATTTTTTGCTGAGTGGCTTTTGAGTCGGATGAGGAAACTTGTATCCGTTGTCATTGTGTGAATTTCGGCAGCCGTTTTTCCGCGATATTTCAATGATACTTGACCAGTCAGTTTGTTCATAAACCATTTAGTGTTAATTTGGTAAGTCACTTGCTCATATCATCAAAAATTGAAGGGTTAAGTGCAGAAAGCGCATTTTTTCGTTAAAGAATCTTCATTGTCGATTTCTATTATAGAGAGCGGAGCACTAGGAGAATTTTCTAATTTGTTTAATTTTCAGCATTGTAATATGTTATAGAGGATTCAGTTTAATTTTAAGGAATTTAATTAATTTACTTTCATTTTAGTGGATAAAACGCTAACGGACATAAGACAAGAAAGGAAGCCCCATAAGAAGAAGAAGTAAGAAATGCCCATTTTGCACTCGGAGCTTCAATTTTCCTTTTTAAACGAAATGTTGTTACGTACTGAATCTGACCCGAGTCCCTAAGCGGCGATTTTCTCTTTAGATTTCCTCGGGATTTTTTTTAATTCTGGGAGTTTCACAATCAATGGAGTTACTTTTTTGTCACTCGTGCCGGTTGTCATTGTATGCGTTATCGGTAGCCTTTTTTTCATGATATTTGGTTTGAAGTTATCGTTTTGGAAGTCATTTTTATTTTTGTTCTTACGTTTACTCCCTCAATGTTGATTTTGTAAGTCACTTGCTTTGATCGAAAAATCTTTTAACTACTCGATGGAGATGTGGCCAAATACACTCGTACATCCTCTGACTTATGAGTCCTAAACTTAGGGGGGTGGAGGGAGGGAGGGAGGGGCGATCGTTTCTTTTGATTTTTCCTTTTGCAATCATATGGGATAGATGTAAATGCGATGAAACAGTAGTTTGTTGGATTTTTTCGCAGCAAATTGAATTTCTCTTTGAAAAGCTTGTACTGAGTAAAATATCAATTTTCCGGAAACTGGTGGGCATTGAGAAAGACTGAGGTCATTTTCAGACACAGCGCTGAAGATTACATAAGATTCAACCGGCATATTCCCAACGATCTTTTTTGCAGGCCTGCGTAATTTTTGAACCAAACTACGGTGCAAAAAATATTTTTCACTCTGGGAAAAATTCAATGCAATCAATGACCGATTTTCATTTTACCGGATATGTTTTTCTAAAGTATTCCATGATAGTTTCCCGCTGTAAGATTTAGGGGCTGCGAGTTTTTGTAGACTTGCGTTAAAGTCACCCGTACTGTCAGAGAGGTTGTTTCTGGTTCCTTTCAGCCTCCCACCTCCCATGTTGCAACCCTGCGCTGGCCAGTCGGAAAAATCAGGTCCCTACGTCCGTCCGTCTCGTCATGTCGGCGTCGTCAAAAAGAGAGCTAGACAGCTTGTTTTCATTAACAGGAAATCTAAGAGAGATGACAGAGTCTAGACAGGGTAACAATAGAACCGGTCTGAAGAGGGAGATGGAACTGCCAAATCGGTTTCTCTAAACTTCGAAACGATTACATAACAGGGAGCGACAATGAGACTGAAACTCTGAAACGTCAGGGGTAGGAGAAGGGCTAGGCCCACACACGCACACGTCTTTCGCCAGACCAAAATCGCCGTGCTAAGGAAAAACGCCGGCGTATGAACATCCGAGAGTTGCCAAATTTCCTTCAATAAACGTTTATCTTTGAGGAAAGTTATGAATATTTTCCCTTGACATTTTCAGGAACGTTGGGTAAACTTGCGAGCAAGATTAGCTGAAAAATTGGAAGGAAAATATTCATAAGTTTACCAGGAAATTCGTGTTTTATCAAAGGAAATTTGGCATCGCCTGGAGGTTCCTACGGCGGTTTTCCTTATCGCGGCTGAAAAGTCCCGGTGGTTTCAGATCGTCCGAGCACACGTGCGAAACCCCCCCCCTCCCTTCAAACGATGCCCGGCCTATGGCATTTCCTTTTGCCAGTTACCTGTTCATCAGTCTAGTTCAGAGATTGCCTCCCATTTGCGCGCAGTATCCGACCGGTGACAGTAGCCGCGCTTAAAATTTAAAATCTGATCGCCATCGTCAAAACGTTTCTTTTACGGTTGTGCTGTTCCTCTTGAAGTGCTCGTCAACTGTCTTTTGAGGCAATTTAAAGGTGTCTTGAGCAAATCCTCGCTAAAAGTAATCGTGGTGAGAAAGGCATTTTCTTTGTAACGAATTCTTGATCCGATCAATTCACCCGCGTGTTGAATTCAGTTTGCACCGCATCATCTGTGGTTTCTTTGGACTTTCAGGGGCGTTTCCGAAGGCTCCGTTTGCGTTCGCGAAATTCATATGTGACTCTACATGTGCGTACTCTCCTAATCGTGACATATTAGCAGCTTCAGCTTTACCTAGTTTGAAGTGAGTCTATCTTAATTAATGTTTCCATGGACGGTCGGATTATCAGACAATTGGATTGTGTTTTTACTTGGTCCTCTTAAAATGGGTCTTCAACTCGATATTACATACTCATATTTACAACTCGATGTTTTTCTCCAATTTTTTAATCGAAGCGAGATTTTGCAATGATTGAAACATTTATGGGGTTTGATCATTTAAATGCCTTAATCGGGCATCACCTACGGTGTAAATTAATATTTCAGCTAGAAACAAGTAGGCACCTAGGGATTTATACGAAAATTTGAACCGTTCATGGGGCGAAAAGTAATAATTTGCTGATTAGCTATTCGAGGATATTATATTGCAGGTGGAAATCAATTTGGGAAGTATCCAATATAGGATGATCCAGCAGGGTTAAACGGCCAGACTGCGGGAGCCGAGGTGTACCCCCTCTTTAAATTGAGATTTCGATTTTTGCGGATCATTTATGAATTTAGGGCCTAAAAGTGCAGGGGTGTACAAATTTTCATGAGATTTGGTTACAACCGTTGCCAAAATTCTGGATGAACTATCTACTTTCCGACATTTGGGGGGGGGGGGCGTAGCTTCGACTGGGGGCACTTTTGGAAAAAAACTTTATACAACAATAATGTCTTATTTTGACCCATAGATCACGCTCCTGACCGTTTTAATTCTGGATCACCCTGGATAATACGATGGAAATGAATGACTTTACTGGTTTTTGCATCATTAACTTGGCCTTAAGAATCCCAAATCATGCTTTATCTAGTATTATACCTTTGTGTAAGAGGATTTGTAAGGTGATTCGAT